TTTTGTTTTTTTTTTTTTTTTTTCCTCTGTAGAGGGTTCTTCCTTGACAGATATAGCTAAGAATGATGCTGGAGCTTGTTGTTCAGCAAGTTATCCTCCATAGAAGAGAAAAAGAATGATATCTGGTTTTATTTTCTGGAAAGAAAGAATTCTTCATCCCTTACTTGCTTCCCATGATGATAGATTGCCTTTTAGACCCCTGTAAAGTTAGGGAATGTACATCATTTGACCCTACTCTCTAGGGGATAAAGTCACCCTATAGCTATTACTATTTAGTCACTTTCCACTTACTAAAAACTTCTACTTTGGCTAGTGTTCAAGCAGCATATTTTAGATTTCTGTGCAACTCCTAAATAATCACTCCGTTAGCTTCAAGGAAGAGTACATTTTTATTACAGAGGGGAAGGGGGAAATTCCAGTTAGTTACTTCGACATTCAGAAGAGATATCAAGAAAAAGAGCAAGGCACTTTAAATTGAGCATAATATGAGCTAATAATCTAGTGGAGAATTTTATGAAGGACAGCAATAATTTTCTCAGTAAATAAGCTGCAAAAGTCCATGGAAGCAGTGCAGTAATCTTTCAGCCACCATCTTTTCCTCATAACAGTCTGCTGGATGTCCAAAACATTTCACAATGGGTGTCAGAGAGCAAGATGTGAATGTACTTGAAAAACATCAAGCATGCAAACTCTTGCAAAGACACGTAGCTTGTCTTTGGCTTGCATACACTTTGCATGCAGTTTTTTCCTTCCAATGGAGTGAAAGCCTCAGTGAGTATGACTGAAGTGAGTGCAGTGAAGGTACAGTAATTACTTTGCATCAACAGATATGTTCCATGTTTAATTCCCATTTTCATTTTACATACTTACAAAAAAAGCGAAGCCAGTGAGACAAAATTCATTAGCCAGCTTCAACAGTTTTCTAAGCTATTTGAGGGCTGGTAACTCCAGACACTACTTGATGTTAACCCATAGTTTTCTTGTCTAGTATACTCAGGAAGTGAATATTCTATAACCTTGTGCAATTGGCTGCGAATGCTGTGGCTTAAAAACTGATGCCTGCCAGGGTCACCGATCAGCACTTCAGTTTGCTGTATCCTGATGCATTTCCTCAGCCAGTGATGCAGACCATCAGCAAGTTGTTCATCGTAAAACATATCTCCTAGAACAATGAGGTCCCAGTTGCCAGCGTCTGAATTAATGATGTTCTTAATGGTGATGGGGAAGGGATTCAGGTGGTTCAGTTCACAGTTCAAGATCATTGCCATTCCTGCAACTGAAGAAAAGTCAAATTGAAATTAAAGTTACATTTTAGTATTCTGCCATTCAGCCTCATTACAAATTTCCTTTGCACATCTTCAAGATAAACAAATATTTTTGTTTATTCAAGTTCACCTCTTAAATATTTTTGTTTATTCAAGTTCACCTCTTAAATATTTTTGTTTATTCTATGTAGGGACTTCCACGGTTTTCATTATGGGTCAAAATCTGGCCTAAAGTGACAGAATTTTATTCTCATTGTACCATGGCACAGGGAAGAACTATTCCTGAATGGACACCAATGGAAACCAATCTTGGAATCAAACCAGAATATCCAACTGCCTTAATCTATGGATATAATTCCTCCCTAACCAATGAGTAATTAAATTATGAATAAACTGAATTGTTAAATCAGTTATGGGAAAACAAATCCTGGAGGAAAAAGGCAAAATCTAGGCCCTATCATATGAAAATGCAGGAAAATACTATCTATGGTCCTGCAGAGAAGCCAACTTGCTGCCTGTGCTTGGAGTTCTCCTCCAAACTGTATGTGACGGTGTATAGACAACACTTGATAGAAACTTTGCTGTTTGTTCATTCTAAGAAACTATGGAGATACACTTGAGTACAACCCAGCTTCTAATACTGGCAAAATCGATTCATCTTTCTAGCATTCTTAGAGCTCCATTTGGAACCTGAATTTCTCCCAAATGGAGGGAAAAAAAAAAAAAGGTCTGTGTTAAATGTGCTTTAAAAATTGCTAAATATCTTTACACGGAGGTGAAAAAAAAAAAAGACTTACTAGGGTCAATGTCATTAGCAAGGACTTGCGATGCACCACTCATCACAGCAGCTATTGCTGTTGCTCCACATCCACTGCCAAGATCCAAAACCGATCGTCCCTTAACAACACGTGGATTGTCTAAAATATACCTGAAAAGAAAAACTGTTAAAGCGAGGACCAAAATTATGCAGATTTCTCAGTTTTACATTCCACTGCACAAGAATTTTTGTCATGCAGGTAATGAAGCATAGTATTTGAAAAACACAATTCCACGTGTGCAGCTGGTACACAGCTCCTTATTTGCCTCTGCTGATAGAAAAATCAAGAACCATCAATTACTTCTCCCCCAGCCCCCAAACAAAAAGAAATCCAGCCAAATAAGAAATATTTCAGTCAGCTCCTTCTCTGACAGGTGATCTTATCTAATAAACGGGCACAAACTGTGAGGTGACTAAAATGTTTGGCATGAGAAACAGGAAAGTAAGGATTTGTAGAAATTAAAATATCTGACTGAGGAAACATAAAGATGTATTTGCAGTGAATATTGCACCCGTCAAAAGACAGGGCCTGCCCGTGGCCCTAAAATACTGCATATGCAACTGCTTGGAAGAAGAAGAATTTCTCTTCTTCCTTTTCCTGAGCCATTCAGACACAGATGCAAATTGCTCTAGTCTGTTTAATGTTGTTCCTGAGTAGCATCAAGAAAATGAGAACAGAGCAGCAGTGAGCAAAAAGAGTATCTTCATCTAGTTGGTTGACACCTGCCACGAGGAATCAGCAAGCAAAACCCTCTAGGCTGGAAACGGAGAAGAACTGACAGAAGGCAAGTTATTGTTAAACATTGCAAATCATGTAGCCATTACTGAGGGTTCAGAACTTTAACACCTGCCTTGAAATTCAATCTTCTGCACAGGGGAAGGCCCTATGTGACGGGAGAAGAGCCTTAGGTGACACAAATCACTGCACATTGCCATAAATTTGCTACCAATTGCCATAACTTCTGTTAAAGTAGAAACAGGAAAGGATTCTGCATTTGTGTTGTCTTCTGTCATGGAGGGTGATGGCTGACTCCACGCAGGACTACTGGTAAGCACAGCTTTTGCAGGTGGGTTCCAGTGCAGAGAACTGTAATGGAAAGGTTAAGATTGGTGTAAATGGTGAACGGATGGATGGAAATGTCTGGGATTAGAAGCACCAGCAGGAATGGCAAAAGGAGGCCTAATAAGAGCTTCAAGTGTCGATGGCACCTAGATCCCAGCACATCTGTATGCAGACTCCTAGGAACCCAGACTGGGCGAACAAAATACAACCTACTCTCAAACTAACTAAAGAGGCCACAGCAGGAAGGTCAAAACCAGGACTGAAATTACAAAATACCCAATCAGCAACCTAGGAAACATGAGGAGGACCGGACATCCCATGCCTCTTGTCCTGCAAGTCATCATCACAAGGAAACTCACCTTGGACAAGCACAACTTGTCCAAGCTTGGACATGCACAACTTGGTGCTTCTGAGCATGTGGTTACGAATCCAATGAGTGAAACTGCGTCAGGGTTTAGGTATTTAGAAATACTATTAGGTCTTAGGTATTTAAGAAACGTGTAGACATGGCACTTCAGGGCATGCTCTAATGCTCGAGATTGTTGGGTTTTGTCTGTCTATGGGTGGGTGTGGTGTGTGTGTTGGTTTGTGGTTGGTGTGTTGTTTTTTGGTTGGTTTTTTTGCGGGGTTTTTTGGGGTTTTTTTTGTGTGGTTGGACTCAATGATCTCAAAGGTCCCTTCCAACCACGAATATTCTGTGATTCTGCATTAATGAAAATCACCTTCCCCTATGAGGTCTGGCACCCAGCTTTGTTAACACTGTTACCACAATATTGCAGCGTTAGTTGCTACTTTGACTATCTACGGGTGATGTCTTTTCTGAGGGCACCCAGGCAGGACATGGCTCAGCAGCTGGGTCGTTTGGCAACGCTCCCCCTCAGGCCATCCCTTCTCTGAGGACAGCCCATAGGTACCGACAGGGGTGGGAGATCCACGGAAAGTTCTCCTTTTCCCCTTTCTAGGTGCTATGCTTAGATTCACAACGACTTGCCAGCAGTGACTTGTGTAGAGCATGATCTGCCCTAAAGCCTTGTTTCCAGCTGGGTGGTTCTCCAGTTACCACTAATGATCCCGGTGACTCGGGACAGCTGGAACCGACCGTATCCCTTGGCACGCACCCAGTGCCTCACACCGCTGTTGGAGCCTGCTGTCTGCCACGCTGGGTTAACGAGGTATCTTGGGTTACACCAAGAGGAACAGCCTGAAATAGGAGACTCCTGATGTTGTGGCAATGCCAACGGTGGAAGGAGCACAGTTATGGAAGCAGCATGGTTTCATGCTCCCTTTTTCTTTTTACTTCCCCAGATTACGCAGCTATTTTCTGACATTCCTAATACATCAAATGAGCAACAAACAGTCAATAAAGAGCTGAAATGCTAGGCAATTATTATTGCTACCCAAATATCTGGGCATATGAATCACACGATAACAAAATGTAGATATTACCTTACCTAATTTAATTACACAGTGTTCAGGAGCACTCTCATCTACATGGCAGGCTAATCAACTCACAATTTAACTGTAAGGCTCATCTTTTTCCTGGTCAAATGTGCCTTCTCTATTTCTGCTTTCTCACAGAAAAAAAGCAAAGCCCCAATTCAGATCCTTCCCTTTCATCTATGTGGGGAATGTCTGACAGCTGGTTCGTTGCTGTAACAATTACGAACTTTTTCTGCTGTTCGAAGTGAAAGATTTGATTTTACAGAATAAAAGAACTCTTAACTAGTTCCTAAGAATCAGGAACAGTAAAGACATTTTGACAGTAAGTGGCCCAAATCAAAGTGTGGCTTCTGATGTGACTAAAAGACAGCCACAAGAAGGCTTGACAGTAAGGCTGGTGAAATCCTAAATGAGGAGACTGATTCAGGCCAACCAAGTGCCTCTGCATAAACCTGCTTTTCTCAACAGACCAGACACACATCCGCACTCCATCTCCTACCAAAAAAAGTACCACGTGTTACAACAGAATAGCAATCCTGTTTGGAGCGACAATGAGCCACAGAATTAAACACCTCACTAGGTGTTCATGGCAACTGCACAGACCTTCCACGGGTCCAAATTCAGCCCCATTATCAACACGTACGTGGCCGCTGAAGACAACAGATTTCAAGTTATTCTCTACACAGCTGGTGCTGAAACTTCACTGCCAAACAGCAGAGATTGCCTCTCTCCTGTATAAGCAGGGGGGAGTATGGATAACGTGCTCTCATACACAGCAAATACACATCGCTAGGAATCACCACAAGCAGAGCCAGGTCTGACATCCTGACCCGCTGCAGGCTGGACTTACCAACTTCGGTGACGCATACCTGGAGAGGGCTTGGCCTCCTGGCCAGTAAATCGCCCAGAAAGGGTCCCCGTAAGGCCACAGGTCAGGTTTTTCCCTCCAGAACTTGCAGCGAGGGGTGAGGAGGCGCAGTCGTATCTCTGGCGTGAGGTGCCCGCTGCTGGTGACCTCCGTGTTCTCCTCCAAAAATGCTCTCACCTCGGGGTCCAGAGACTTGCCGGCACTCCAATGGCAGCAGCGCTTCCAGCGCAGAGAGGGGACTCCCCTCCTGCTCCTCCAAGCCTTGGCAAAGCTGTTCTGCCTGCCCAAGGGTAGGAGCCGCTTCCAGCCACGGAAGGCCATGCCTCCCCAGGGACAAACCCTCCCCAGGAGAGCTTGGAGCACAGTTTATCTGACGAGCACAGCAGGTGATGAGGGAGAAAGCTTGAAGCAAACTCACAGGATGTAGATTTTCTAGTGATGGATGACAATTCCTGAAAGGAGAACAATGCTACGTAAGTGATGTTTCTTCAGTGACTTCAAGGCTATGCATCACCAGGGCTTTAGGAAGAGGAGGTCAATGTGCTGTCGCGTGACCATTAATGCGTGCCTTGCCCCTGCCCAAAGGGTCTTGAAATCTCAAAAAAGTGATATTTAAGGGAGAAGCTATCAAGAGACCCATTCAGGAGAGTGCTATAAGCATATCCCATGAGAAACAACCAGTTAGCGGGACAGCTGATAGAGCTAAAAATGAAACGTGCAGCCTTTCAACATCTCCCTCCCTCTTCCTTGAAGATAGACACACAGCAAGCTACTCCCGTGTAAGGTTCTTCCATTGAATCTTAAGATTTTGCAGTAGGACTCTGGCATTGAAGGGCCTATGGGCATGGTAGCGGTTATCAGTGGGTTGCTTAAGAGATGCTATTAATTATAAGTTTTTAATGGTGATGAGTCTTTTAGATGAAAGCATCTTTTTAAAGTCAAGCAATTAAAGGATTTCCTCAAAAGAATTCCTTCTCTCTCCCTCAGATCCATCAAGCTGCCAGCTCCAAAATTAAAAAAAAATAAAAATAAATCCCCAAGAACTGGTCTTAATCAGAATACTGCCCATTTCTTGCATTTCAGTCTGTATTCTAAAGGATCAGTTAATCTTATGGTGCAATAGTCTCAGGTGGATGCTATCACTGTAGCCCACTCTCTGTAAAAAACTACAGAAACATGCTCCAAGCTGTCTGAAGAGACAGAAACTGAATCCAACACATTAAAAAAAAGTTATTAGAAGGTGAGACATTCAGACTAGATGAGCTCACAGTCAAAGTTCTTCTGACACCACTCAAGGCCAGTTTTCAGTTCACAAGCAGTGAAGAAAAGGGGAATGGAAGATTAATACATCAGAGTTTAGACCCATTTAAGAATCAGGAGAACGGAGAGTGGAAAGCCACAGCACTCAGCTGAGAGGCGAATGAAGAAGAGCCTCTCAGCACTTCATCACCATCACCATCCTCTCCTCATCCACCATCTCTTGCAGACCCTGGGTCTGTCTTATGCTGATCCCATGAGGATCCTTACCAAGCTGGGGCCTGCAGAAAGACCAACTGGTTTCCTGCCTTCCTGCTCAGACCTCCCCCTTCATCCATCCTTTACCATTTTCATATATTTTTTCATTCCTCATCTTGCTCTCTCATTTCTTTTCAATAACTTGGACTTGCTTCAGGGCACAGCTTTCGACCCCCCCCCAAGCTGATGACCAGAGAAGGATTTAAGGCCTGTGCTTCCCCAACAGCAAGACTGCAAATACAAACTGTGCTCTCTGTTGTGCGATTGTTTTCTCTCTTCCCCAGTGGTTTCCATGAAAAAGCAGAATAGTGCATAAAGAAAATCAGCTTCAAACCCACCCCTGTCATGTTTTCACAGCAGAACTGTGGCCGGCTTCACCATCTAGAGCTGTGCAGGTCGTCCCTTAAACAACTAGGAAAAAAGGGACAAGAAGAAAAATATGCTACTAAAACAAAGTCTTAACGCTTTGTATTTAATTACTTTGTTTTTTCTTTATCTGTCTGTATCTCTAGTAAGAGTTCATATGTGTTTAGTGGCATTTCTGCTGTGTGCTGGCCTCTTGCTTTAGGTTCTGGGTTCAGTTTGATGACTTTACTAAAGTGTTAAAGCGTGAACTTCCCCCCAAAACACTTTGCTATTTAGTCCGGTTAAGTCTTTGTTTAAATCACTGGCTAAAGGCTTTGTTATTTTTATTACAAATAAATACCTCTGACTGCACATTTTGCCTTTTTCCACATTTGAGAATGCCATTCAGCAGAGTCCGTGTCATTAATGAATATAATTAACGAACGCCTTCCTTCTCAACAGCAGAGCTATATAATCCCCATCTGCCTGAGGGAAGCATGAAGTTAACTGAAACCAATCAGAGACATAAATCTTTGTCACAGCTAATGCTCTATGCTGGGTTGTTTTTTTTTCCCCCATGAACTGCTGCAAATCGGCAGGGCTGAGATATTTTGCGTCGCCTGTCACGGTGGTTACTGTTTTTAGATTAATTGTCGGTGGAGCAGTTATCTGCCAAGAGTGGACCAGCATCTCAAATGCCGAGCTGAAGCCTGTGGGGCGGGAAGGCGTCAGGACAGACATCCCTAAAGTGATGCTCCCGGCCTTCCCCTCTCGCTGGGAATAAAATCAGTGGGCGAGCAGAACTTGGCAAGGGGACAGAACCAAGCAAAACCCACAAAATAATAATAATAATTTAAAAAAAAAATTCCTGTGCCATTTAAGCTTTTTTTTTTTTTTTCTTTTTAAAGCAGCAGGTGCCTCTGAAAGCACAACCACACCGGCCCCCCGCCTCCCACCGGAGGAAGCCAGGGTGGCGAACAGCCCGCTGTCACCCGGCCCCGCACCGAACCGGGGCGACAGTCACCGCCTCCCTCACCCCGGCCTGCCCGCCCCTCCGCAAAGCGCCCGCCGGGCTGCGGGAAGGGGCGGGGGGCAAGGCCGGCACCGGGGACACCCACACCGCCTGGGCCGGGCCGGGCCGGGCCGAACCACCCCGCGCAGGCCTGGCCGAGCCCAGCAGCTCCGGCCGCCGCTCCACCGGGGCGGGACCGGTGCCGGGGCCGAGACCGGGGAGCGCCCGGCCCACACCTACCTGCTGCTCCCGGCCGCGGCTTGGCTTGGCTTGGCTTAGCTTGGCTTGGCTTCCCTCCGCTCCGCTCCGCCCCGCCGCGCCGCGCTGCGCCGGGGCGGGCCCAGAGGGGCCGGGCTCCCGGGCCAGGCCTTAAGGCGGCAGCGCCGCCGGGAGAGCGGCCTTTACGGCGGCCCCGGTACCGGTAGCGTCGCCCCCCGAAGTCTTTGCTGTGCTTGGGGGTTTCTTTCCACGGTTCGGGGGTCAGCGGCCTGGGGCTGTCCCTCCCGGGGCCCAGGCGGCCGGTCAGAGCCGTCTGCCCTGGTCCTGCTCCCGTCCGATGGTTCCACAAGGGCCGGGTCCTGCTCCCGGGTCACAACCACCCCGTGCGGCGCTACGGGCCTGGGGGCAGCCGCTGGAGAGCTGCCTGGTGGAAAAGGACCCGGGGGTGTTGGGCAATAGCCGGCTAAATATGAGCCAGTGGTGTGCCCAGGTGGCCAAGAAGGCTATGAGCATCCTGGCCTGTATCAGGAGTAGCGTGGCCAGCAGGAGTAGGGCAGTGATCGTCTTCCTGTACTGGGCACTGGTGAGGCTTCGCCTCGAGTGTTGTGTCCAGTTTGGGGCACCTCACTACAAAAGAGACATTGAGGTGCTGGAGTGGGTCCAGAGAAGGGCAACGAAGCTGGTGAGGGGTCTGGAGCACAAGTCTAATGAGGAAAGACTGAGGGAGCTGGGGGTGTTCAGCCTGGAGAAAAGGAGGCTGAGGGGAGACCTTATTGCTCTCCACAACTCTTCAGGGTTATATCAAGGTGGGGGTTGGTCTCTTCTCCCAAGTCACAGGCAATAGGACAAGAGGAAATGGCCTCAAGTTGCACCAGGGGAGGTTTAGATTGGATATTAGGAAACACTTTGCACCAAAAGGCTTGTAAAATATTGAAAGAGACTGCCCAGGGAAGTGGTTGTCTTGTCATCCCTGGGGGTATTTAAGACAGGCAGACGTGGTGCTTGGTGACATGGGTTAGTGGTGGACTTGGCAGTGTTAGGTTAATGGTTGGACTCAAGAGCCAGACTCTTTTCAGTGGTTCCCAGTGAGAGGACGAGGGGCAACGGGCACAAGTTGGAACATAAGAGGTTCCACTCAAATATGAGGAGAAACTTCTTCACGGTGAGGGTGACAGAACCCTGGAACAGGCTGCCCAGGGAGGGTGTGGAGTCCCCTTCCTTGGAGATTTTCAAGACTCGCCTGGATGCAGTCCTGATGCTCTAGCTTTAGGCAATCCTGCTTCAGCAGGGGAGTTGGACTAGATGATCTCTATGGTCCCTTCCAACTCTAAAATTCAGTGAAATACAATGATCTTAAAGGTTCCTTCCAACCTAAATGATTCTATAAATTACTTTTTTAAAAGACTTGCATCAATGCAAATTGGCCCTGTATTTTAAAATGGTAATAAAAATCCACATGGGAAAAGGAGTTATATATCCAAATTTGAGAGGAGTGAAAAATGAGATCTTTTTTTCTTCCTCTGCACAGCAGATCAAGGCCACTGCCAAATGTGGCATGAGCTAACCAAGGTGTGCTGACCAGCAGAAGACCGGCCAGCCTGTGCTCCAGTATCGGTTCTCAATAAACTGCGCCTCTGCTTTCCCCTCTGCGTGTTTCTCTTCCCCATGCTCCCCAGCCTCACAAAGTGTCCCAAATTTCACACACTGCATTTTGAAAGGGCTCTCGTGTATTGCCTGAGGTGACAATTGTTAAGTCCTGGAACACTTAGGGTGCTACGTTTTTAAAAATAAATCTGGCGATTACACAGCCTAAACCTGGATTTGCCCAAATCTCTGAGGTTATGAGGCCATCTAGTGATCTCCTGCCTTAGTACAATATAAACCTGCTCCCCAGGGTGTGAAAGCTGCTTCCAAAGCAGGACTTTTTCTCTAAATGTGGGTGATCCCCAGTGCCCTGAGAGAAGGTGGCCCCTCCGTTCTGGGCTGCAGAGAGACCAGGATGGAGGTGATGCACTGGGATGAGGCCAGGAAGAAGCTGGTGTCCACCAGCCATATGAAGGTGCCTGAAGTCCACAGGCATGTTAAGCTATAGAGGTACTCACATGCCTTTTACTCTTGCCTGTATATAACTGTAAAGTAGGACTCACCCTCAGCCTTTTTAGAAACTATTCCAGAAACCCATACAAAGATGTGGGCCTTTGTGATTGAGCCTCAGGAAGGACATTATTTCTTGGAGCCTTTAGGGGAACCATGAAGTTTCAAAGCTCGTAAGTCTTTCAGCAGCTCTCGCTGGTCCTCTCCAAGGAGGAAGACATTGAAAACACTCATAATACCCCAAACTGTGCACAAAATGTGCAACTTAGGACACAGTTCTTTGTGCTCTCTAGGTACTCACCACCACGCTAGGAATAAAGAACTTGGTAATGTAACAGGAAAACCATTATCAACATCAGCTCAGGACGCCACGTGAGATGTGGTAACAGCTTTAAGGGTACTGACAGGTGATGCTGCACCTCGACCTTGCACATTTTATTTTATGCCTCAGAAGGTTCTCGGAGAAATCTGACAGAAAGCTTTTTCACTTGGATCTGTAACCTTTCGGATTAGGTATTTTAACAAGTAACTTCTCAGGTCTAGTTTTTCTGAACCCCTGATACATGGCATCACTCAGTAGCTATGTGATCCTCAGTAAAGTCACTGGTTAAATAAAAATACAGACCAACGTTGTCCTGAGGCAGTTAAAAAAAGAAAATGTTTTCCCTGGCTGCTCCCAGCTTAGGGATTGCTTCAGTGACATAAAGGAGGGGTGAAGTCCTTGCTTCCCGGTAACACTGGCTGGGATGTTAAAACCAGAAATCTACTCTTTCTTATTTAACTACAGATATTAAGTTATTAAGGTATAGAGTCCTAGCATGCCATAAGGAAGCTCTGATACCAATGATAGCTGCTATCCTTCTTGTGAAAGTCTACGTAAATCACTTCAGACATGCTCTGTGCTGACTGCTTCAGCAAAGTATCAAAGCCTGTCCCCTGTGAGGAAAAAAAATGTTTAATTTCCAAAGGCTTTTTACTTTAGATGGTGACATCTTGAGAATTTCTGTTGTTCAAATGTATGGTATACTCTGCAGCCAACTACCCTAATTGCACTGGAGATTTGCTCCAAGGACAAGGACGTCTTTGATCACAACACAACATCAATTTGGCGTATCGTGGAGGAGTGCAACACTTGCAAAATGCAGCGGTAGAGTAGCACACCAGGGAGTCCTGCGTGTCCAAGGGAATTAGAGGATTACTGGCTGATGATACAACTGCCCAAGTCTCGGGGGAAATCTTGTTTGAGCCAATTAGCAGCAAAGAAACGGAACTGCGCAAGGACAGAGAGAAGGGGAAGGCAGAGAGGAGCCACCTTCACATTAACCAGTCCAAGACTCATGGATCTTCATAGCTACAAAGGTTAAACTCAAAGGAAGGCGGGCCCAGGTGATCACCCAACTTCAACTTCATACCTTCTCTTCCAGCTGTTACAGCCCCTATTTCCAAATTTCTTGGTTTGGGGTTTTTTTGTGGGTTTTTTTTGTTTGTTTTTTTCAGGGCCAGCTGCCACAGTTTGCTGCAGTGAAAGGACCTCGGTGCAAATTCACAGAAGGGAAAATGGATGGATTCAGAGCGCTGCTGATTTGTAAAAAGCATCCCAACAACTCGATATCAACAGTCTGGGGTTTTGCACATCAGGATCAATTTGTGGTTTTCCAGAGGCTGTGGGAGCAGGTCATTATCAAAATGTAGCTGGTGCTACAAGTAAAATTAAAGCTGAGAGCTCTGGCTAGGCAAGGGAGAGGCAATTCAGTTATTGTGTTGTGCCTTCAGCTACAGTCCACACCTACTCATTTCTGAATCATGGTACGTCTTTTGCAGTTGAAGAACAGATAGCCGAGCAAAACAACTTCACACATTACCTGTAATATGTCCTGAAAGCATTAGATGTGCTTTTCATACAATTACCTTCCCCACTGCCTCACCAGCTGTATTAGGTCAGGAGCAGGAAGGAGCAGCAGCTGGCAGAGATGAAGGCATCAGGTACCTTCTGGCAGTGGATACCAGAAGGGGAATCTGCAAGGTGCAGCACTTTTTTTTTTTTTTTTTGGGGGGGGTGGGGGTAAAATGATGAAACGAGGAGAAGCTGTGTTATTCTGACCTTTGTGCTGCTGCAGATTCAGTCTTCCTGATGTGAGAAGTCCTGCAAGGGCCTTGATGGTAAGACCAAGAAGTTGCAAACTATTATCTCTGAGTTCATTCTTGATTTTTGTCTTTTGTCCATGTGTACAATTAAAGTGTGCTTGGCCTTGGCTGGCTGCTTGTATTCATGCAAAGTCAATCACAGGAGCATTTTTGTAGCATAGAGGAAGGCTGGAAAGAAACACACAGAGTCAGATGGTTTGTGCTTGTCTTTGATGTGTTGTTTGGGTACTTGTTTCCATGTTAAAACTAGAGGGCAGATATTTACAAGCCTTGTTTTTGAGCAGCTGAAGTTTCCTTGAACTAGTGGGGCTCTGACTCCCATACATCTTTTACAATAATGATAATTGGGCTATGAAGTTTCAGATCCCAGCAATATTTTGTGACAATCACCTAGCATGAGTGAAACCTCACTGTGAAGAATAATTAGACAGAAAGGAGGCCCACTCGATGAACGTATTTGTAGCTAATGAACATGTCCAGAGATGGCTCCTGTAAAAACAGATGCTCTGGTGGTTGTAGCTGTATAGCAAGAAGATTGCAGCACAGGCAGCAACCAAGAGGAAGAAGCCACCACATTGGCACAGCCACTTTGAGGTGATACAACTACCCTGTACCAGCACACTGAAAGAGCTGGTGATGGTGGGCAGTTTGCAGTAGGCTTTGTTCATAGTTCCCTTTGGTCTTCCAGAAACTGAACTATCCCTGTTGTACTTCTTGTACTGTTGTGATGCTCCTGTGATCATCTGTAATAGCTTTCTGGATGCCAGTGTCCCATCTTGGGTGGCCAGGGATCTGGGGACACAGTAGTCTGCAGGAAGATTTTGTGTATCCCCAAGTCCTGGGCCAGGTCTGGAGCCAGC